CAGATGGTGCCCGGTCAATCAATGCCATTTGCTGCAATTTTCGGTGACAGCTGGGTAGGCAGCCCAGAGGCAGGGACATAATTATTTTTAATTTAATTTTAACAGAGATTCTGCTATGGATGCACAAAAATGACAAATATCTCTATAAGGTGGCTCACTATGTTCTTTGCAATCTTCTGGAAGAACAGAGATGAGGCCAGACCAAAGCAAGCTGTGCCCTTTGAATCTGCATAAACAGTTACCAAGGAGCTCACTTCCAACAAGCTGTCATATGGAGACCAGCAGCTCTGCTTCCATGGCTAGTGGTGTCACAATGCCAGCTAGTTGTCAGCTCCAGAGCAAGGGAAGACCACTTGTATGTGTGCTAATTCCAAGACAAGTGCTGACTACAGGGTAGCCCTTTCTGCTGTTCTCTGGAGCACTGTTTATGGGTCTACATATCAATGGTTTGCAGTAAGTTAGATGCTTTAGCTTCTAAACCAATTGTTCTCAACCTTTTTTGGACTTGAGGTACCCCCCCGATGGACTCAAGGCACTCTCCTCCATAACTCTGTAAACTGAGTAGCACTCAGTTTCAAAACCTGGCCTATTTATTACAGTGCTTACACCTCCTTGAAGAGAGGCTGAGGGATTGGCCAGGCAGGGACAAGCCTAATCCTGGACTTATCTGCTTATATCCACATACCTTGCTTAGCTCCACACACTTCATGGCACCCTTCAAAGGATCTCAGGCCACCCTAAGGTGCCTCAGCACCCTGGTTGAGAATCACTGCTCTAAACACATGATGGAAGGTTTATTTCTGTTCCCTGGGGCCCTTCCCAAATACTTAGACCAGTCTTTTAGTTTTTAGTCTTTTATTGGTGCATTTAGTTACCTCAGATAGTACACTTCATTCTCTTCCTACTCATCTCACCTTATCTCTTCCTTGTTCAGTCTTTCCCAGTACTATAGACACATCAACCTAGTAATAAGCAACATAATGAAGATGTATCTATGCCCTTCTTTTTAAGAGCCTGCTAGAAGGCTTTTCTCATGACCCTTGTTTAGAAATTGTTCCCATGGTGGGATAGGGGCATAAAGGGGAACCCAACTATTCCCACTGGCTTCACAGGGTTGCGGGTAGGGTCGTCCACTGCTGAACAAACCATGGGGATTTGTGCAACCTGCCCCAGGAGAGGGAGGCTGAGCCGACTTTGCAGTCTGGCAAGCAATCAGGAACGGCCTTAGGTCAACTCCACTGCTCCTTATAACTTCTCTCCCCTGTCTGGCTGTCTGCGCTGCCCAGTCCAGCCGAGGGTTGCTCCTGACTGTTTGTATGAAGCCAAGAGAGCTCAGTAAGGGAAACCACAATTGGCTGGACATGAGTTCATTCACGCTGCTTCCAGCAAGGATCCCCCTGCTTCCAGAAGGCAGCTGAGAACAATCTGCCATTTGTTTCTACTTTTGCCTCAGCTACTAAACAACTTTCCCATGGGGTCCACAGATCTATGAGAGAGAAGACCCTGTTGTCAGAGGATTACAAATACCTAGCATGTACACAGGAGCACAGTACTCACCGCTTCAGACCTCACATACAACTACAAGGCAAGAAACCAGAATCACGAGGAACCCCCTACAACACACCATAGGTAAAAGCAGGAGAGGTGAGAGCGCCGCCAGTGCTCTGTCACTTCACTAGCTGGCAAGTCAGTGGGTAATACAGGCTCAGAAGACCACAGGCCAAGGATCATGCCCCATGCTACAGAAGAAAGCAGACCTCCCACAGTTTGTGCTAACCTGACCCACAGAAAAAAAATCCTTCTTGACCCCACATTTGGCTACTGGTATAACCCTGAGTAGAAAAGCAAGGCTCTCTAGCCACGAACCACTGGGTTCCAGCACCCCTGGTACCAGCAGAGGAATGGCTTGGAAAGTGCTTCAGTGAGAGGAAATAAAGGGCCAGATGCTCAGTGGGTGTAAGTTAGCGTAGCTCCATGGGCATCTATAGAGCTATGCAGATTGATACCAGCAGATCTGGCTACAAGTATCTATTGCTTGGCATTCCTCAGTCAGTTCTGGATCAGCATTTGAGAAGTCACCAGCCAAGAAATATATGGTAGTCCTTTGACTGCCTTCACCATGCGTTGCCCTCAGGCTGCCTCATGCTTCCCAAAGACAACAGCCAACGCTCAAAACATGGGAAACAGGTGATGCAGCGAGATCAGGAAATGTGGGTTCCTCAGCTTTGGATGCCAGTGGTGCCATCAAACCATGCAGGGAAATCAGGCTGCCCTAGTTTCAGGCCTCAGCAGCTGTGAGACCAGAGGAACGTCTCTTCAAATGGTTGTTTTCAGTAAATGTATTTTTTTATATAGTTTCAAGACCTTTGAGGGGAAGACGCTTAGCTAGTGTGAGTGCCATTGTGCTGTGGCTGGAGGTTTCCCCAAGGTGTTTTACTAAACGAGAACATTAAGTGATTAGAGGTTTAAGGGAATTCCTGAACCTGGAAGTTCATTTTCCAGTGTGTGATCTTGCAGAGGAGGAGATGGATGGCTCAAGGGCTGTGGTCTTGTTCCCTGTAAGTGAACAGTTCTGTCCCAGCTGATGCTGAGGTGCGATGGCTGCGAAGAGAGCAGGTGGGATTCATAAAGCTGCCCCCGCTAGGGAAGATCTGCCTGATGGATGGCAATTTCACAGAGAACTCAAGGGCTGAATGGACGCAAGAAACTTCCCTGCTCTGGACCCTTCTCAGCAGGAGGGTGCTATATAGCCAGGTTTACTCCCTAGAGAGAAGACCTCCACTCTTGCATGGTCACCAAGGAACACCCAAACTGGTTTTGCCCACACCAACTTTGGAAGTCCAAGCAGTATTACCACATCCCTGACTAGTCCTTTGCTATACCTTTGCTAAGAAGATCTTCTCAGCAGCTGAGTTTATTTTCCTAAGCACAGCACTGCAGGGATACAGCTGTACTATCTCTGTTTTGGAAGCTACTATGTGCAGAGGGAGCTCAAGTATCTCGGCGTAGTGCTGCCTCACTGCATAGACATTACTCCAAAAATTCTCCCCAAAACACCCCCTCTGAAGGAGCTAGAGAATTTCCTGGCTCCTGTCAGTCTGAGCCAGACCCAAACCATGATTTATTAAGATGCTGTTTTGTGGTATATCATCTTTGTAACAACAGGGACACCTTATCCTACCCAAAGCAAATTGTGAGCAAAATGGAGATCAGCACTTTTATCCCCTCTAGGAAAATTGACTTTAATAATTTGGACAACTTGAAAGGCTCCTGCTGCCAGAGAGGTAAATATTCATGACGAGTATGTTTTTAAGTCTCCAAGTCAGCTTACAAAGCAGGTGCTGCATCTTTCAAAGGTTTTTTTTTTTTGCTGCACTGCTTAAAAAAAAAAAAAAGGAACATGGGGATTTTCCTATTCTTATTGAATTGTTCTTTAACAAATCACAATAATTAATAGTCAAATGAAAAGTGGCAGGGAAATGGTAGATGAAAAGTGATCTGTAGCTCTTACAGCACTCGCATGGAGAGATATGGGACAGACAAAATAGACTGTCTCCTTGCATGGGGGAAGAGTCAGTGGTAGCTAATGCTTGTTAAATATCGCAGCACTGGAAAGAGGGGTCATGATGGGAAGAATGCATCCTGGTTACATGAAAGGGTTAACTCTCTGACTGATGGGGAAAGAGATGAGGAAAGAGATGATGAGGAAGAGTTGAAGAGGGGACATCAATTGAAAGATGTTCCAAAGTTCAGGTTCCGCCATGAAGAAATGTCAGTGATGTACCCAAATATGTAAGAGCATAGCACCCAGTCCCTAGGTTGACCTCTGTCATCTACAGCTGAAGGCCTACACTGGAACTGAGCTAGAACTGCAAAGTCTGGGCTCCCCATAGCAAGGACTCAGAACTGATGGATGAGCCTTCAAATGATTAATTATTAGGGCTGTGTGAAACAGCACTGTTTCGTTTCAACTTCCACTTCAGCAGGCCAGTGTTTAGTTTTGAGTTTTGTTTCGAAACCACTGTTCCATTTCATTTAGTCGAAACTGTTTTGCCTTTTTGACACTGTTTTGACATTTCGCCCATAGGCTATAATGGGGAAGCACAAAACTTCCTATAACTTTGTCATTTTATGGCAGATTTGGATGGAAACATCAGGGATGGTAGACCCTTCTGAGGGCATGAAGCCTGCCAAGCTTCAAGGAGATAGGTATAGGGATTTCTGGGAAATTGCACCTCGAATTCTTGAAAGCAAAACTCATGTCACTTGTAAGTGTGAAGTCAAAGGGGGTGAAAACTGCAGGTATGGATGGTAGCCCCTGTGGAGGCCACAAAGCCTGCCAAGTTTCAAGGAGATAGGTGCAGGGGTTTCTGGGCATCTCAGGCAGCCAAACCATCATAGTCAGTATCAGATCAGTCCTTCCCCCTCTTCCCCTCCCTCTTCTTACTTTCTGTTTCTCTGCAGGCAAGCCCAGCTTCAGGTTCAAAACTCAAAATGTTTTGAAAGTTTCGAAAAGTTTCAGCTGCCCTTGTTTCATTTCGAGGCTGTTTCGAAGCCCTTTGTTTCATTTCGATTTCTCTGTTTCAAGCTCGAAACAAGTCAAAACAGCGTCAAAATGAAACAGCGGGCAAAATTTTGCACAGCCCTATTAATTATACAGATTTTACTTATCTCAGCTCCAGAAAAGCCTGGGGCCCAGGCCTTGAAAGGTATTCAGGTGCCAAAAAACACTGGAACACCTTTGAAGGTCTGAGCTGGGGTGGTTTAGGAACACAAGCCCCACTGAAACTCAAGAACAGGATCCTGGGAGTCCTGGCTAGCACATGACAACATTTTAGGAGGCGACTAGAAAGAAAAGGCTCCAAATGCTGGGGAAGTCTCATAGGGACAACTGGGCTGTTAGCAGTTCCTTGTGCCATTAACTCCTGGAACACCAGCTGGCCATGCTCAACAATGGATGAGGTTCTCTCATTGTTTTAATGAATTGTGCCAGGAATTACCTTGGTCCTCATAATTGCTTTGATAGCAGCTTCAAACTCCTCGGAGTTATTGTAGTCCACTGTCCATACGTGAGGCTTCCCTATGAAGTCCTCAACATAGGGGTGTTGGGAGGATACCTGGAAAATGAAACAAATACCAACTGCTTCACATTCTGTAAAGGAAGTGCTGTGACCACAAGCAATGACCTCCCTGCAGCTAGGCACTGGGAGGGGTGAGATAATGGCAGTAGGGACACTGGTGAAAAAGTACTGAAGGCCAAGATAGGCCCAAAGTGGAGTATTTAATCCAAACACTCCCCACCCCCTAAACATTTAAAACATTATACAATTATCTAATGAATCTAGACACCCCATTCACATTAATATTCATGAGAACTGGGGGTTGAAATCTTGGCAGCCACAAAAATCTCAATCTCAGTGAATCAGAGAAAATCCAACTCAAATAGGAACCCGTCCCAGGTGCACCTTAATTATCAAGGTTTTCCAAGACCAAGAGCCACACTGATTTGTCCATTCTTGGGCTAGTGCTAAGTGAGAGGGAAGAAGATTTCTCCACTTACACACTGTGAGGCCTGAGGAAGGGTGCTGTGATATAAGAAAGCTTGCCTATATCTATACCAACCATTCAGTTGGTCCAATAAATTGTATCACCCACAAGAATTCTTGCCTCTCCTATATCTCCTGGACCATCATGGCAACATCACCTCAACATTATATGTGCATCCTCAACATTTCTGCTGTGTTTTCTGGAGGGAGCCTGACTTTTCAAATCCACTTCTAGTTCAGCATATAGAGTCAAACAACCCATATAGCATCCATTCAGCATATAGAGTCAAACAACGATCTTGTGGCCTGCTATAAACTAGTCAGGGGGGATCAACAGGCACTGGGGGAGTCCCTGTTCCCCCGAGCGCCGCCAGGAGTGACCAGGAATAACGGTCACAAGCTGGCGGAGGGAAGGTTTAAGTTGGACATCAGGAGGCGCTACTTCACGGTCAGGGCGGCTAGGGTCTGGAACCAGCTTCCAAGTGAGGTGGTGCAGGCTCCCACCCTGGGGGTTTTTAAGAGGAGGTTAGATGACCATCTTGCTGGGGTCGTTTGACCCCCAGTACTCTTTCCTGACATGGCAGGGGGGCGGACTAGATGATCTGCCCAGGTCCCTTCCGACCCTAGAAACTATGAAACTATGAAACCCTGCCGCCACAGTGGGAGGCTTCTCAACAGCAGGCCTGAGACAGTGCCACTTGTCATCCTCAGAGCGCAGCACAAAGCTCACTTCTCAAGTCCCTGAAGAACGAGAGCTGAGTAAACCTGGCAGTGGGCTAAAGAGGATACAGCATCAGCTGAACCAAAAGGCAGGGCCATCCATCTCACAAGCAAGAGGCTCAGTCTGAATTAACCCTCTCATTCTTCTAACAAATCAACCAACCGGCTAGACTCAAACACAAACTATAAAACCCAAGACCTCCCTGGACCCATCAGAAGGCTCAGAGGTGAATACGCAGAGGGATGACAGCAATGAGTTGTATCTTTTTCCGGTCATGCTTCTCCCTAGCAAGAGTGGCTCAGGATGGCCGGCTTGGCTCTTTTAAGACATAAAACAAAATGAGCAGCAGTAAGTCTTCTGTCTCACCCACATGCACACACATGTACACTCTTTTTAGGAACTGTTTGCCTCTGACAGCCTTCAGCAAGTCATTAAGGACCAAGTCAAGCCCTCCCAATATCAATGTAAGTTACAGTATTGTTGGCATAATGGACAGGTGGCACACGAGGAGAATTAATGTTTCAGGAGCTAATTACAGCAGCCTTTCTCTGTCTTCACAGGTCAGTGAGATAAATGGGATGTGAGTGGGCACCCACCACACTGTAAGAACAGCAAATGGACTGACTGCTCAGGAAAGGGAAAGCAGCTGCAGTTCAGTCTGGGGACTGGCAGAGAAGGGGCTAGCAGCGGAGGTGGGGAGAGAAGAGAGGGTGCTTTAGGATTAAGTCTAATCTATCTGAAAGAAAAGCAGAGATTGAGCTCCTTGGTGTGGCCAGTGGAAGAAATTTCTCCACAGGGAAGCATGGATTTACATTGCCTTATCCACTTTATCAATAATACAAGGTTCAATTTTCTCAACCTTTTAAATTTGAAAGAACTCCCGCTGCACTCAGATTGAATTTGTAGCCAGGGGCAAGCCCAAGAGGGTGGGTTTTTCTTCCCTCTGCAAAACAACCTTCATTCCTATTTTGAATTCAGGCCCAAATTTTCCTGGGAACTTTCAATCCCAGATGTGGGGATCAGCGGGTCAAGCTGTGGCCAGGTTGAATGAGTTTTAGACAAAAGTCTCTTTGCTCAGGTTTTATTTTGTAAAACTGAGAACTAAACCCAGGTTCCAGGTAATCTAAACTCCCCAGATCTTGGCAGGCTGCAGTTAAGATGGAGAGGGCAAAATACTACATTTATCCTAGGTACCATTCTCTTGAACTTGGAGGAGGCTTTGATCAATATTTGAATTTTCCAGCTGATCCCCTTCTCTAGTTCAAATCCAGAAGAAAACAATGTGGCTATCTGATATATTGTCATTGTTCAATATTGTAGAATCATGTAAGCAAAATTACCTCTCTTGATGTAGGCTTCCCCCGGAAGAATTCGTGATTGAGGGAGCTGTGTGGTGGATTGAAACGAGACTGCAGGAAAACACAACCATTGGCTATGGCTTCCAAAGGGGCAGGACCTTCATATGGGAACCCAAAGCCTATGAAGAGCTGTAAGAAGCAAAAAAAAAGAAACCCTGGGTGAATATGAACCAAGAATATTGTTGCCCAGACCTTGGCAACCCTACACTTCACCTGACTCACCAATTCAAGTTCAGCAAGTTCCACGTTTGGTGTTCAGCTCTGCTCTCCTGGAGCCTGATACAACCAAGCTCTTGATGAGTCTCTTAGTTTAATTCATAAATAGCTTAAATGTGTTAAAAGGGTCTCTCCAAAATGAGGTCCTTGTGAATGTCAGATTGCACACAGTATATTTTCAACTCTGGGCCATTAATGTCAATGGAAATTACATCTGGTTGTATTTATCCCACTGATTCCACAAGGAAAGATTTGCTATAATTCTAAAGAGCTTCCTGACCAAGAGTCAGGGATCCAGGGGGGGAAGGGCCTTAAATTCATGAGCTGCCATCCAGTGCCCTGGCTTTATTTCCTGATCACAGGGTACAAGGATCTTGCCAGTGCGTGTTTCCCCATCACATAATGAAAGCACAGTAGGAAGTCATTACATAGGAAGAGCCACCAGCTAGAACATGACGGTGGGGGGGAGTAGCATATCAGTGGATGGACAGTGTGAGTGATGGGTGGGGAAGCACATACTCTACCTGACTCTAACCAATAGAGAGGCAGTAGTAGGAAAGGCATGGCATTTTGGGACCATCGGGCTGCTATAATGTCACAGAGACCCAACTCCAGAGCACAGCTGAGTAAGTATTAGCAAAACTGTCCTGCGATTATTCACTGGAACCTTAAAGGGAATTTCAATGTGCTGACACCTGTGACCTTCTCACTTTGCTCTCCATGAGTTGCTCAAGCTCTACTAGTCCAAGAGTTTGCAAAAAGGATTTTAAAGTTCAAATAGCTCCCAAAAGCGTATTCCACATTTTTCACAATTTGTACCCTCTTTGATTAGCCACATAAGTCATGTAGCATTATTTCTGTTTCCCAACGGATGACTTGTATAATTAACTAACAAAGTATAAACTGGGCAATCTAACCATCAGTCATTACCTTGGGGCCGTTTTGTCAATTTATGCAAGTCATTTGCCTACATTTTAGCTACATAAATGAAATAAATTAGTTAGAGAGATCACAGTGTGAACCTTGTACCTGATTGCACAATTCGCATTTCAAATGGCCTGAAAACCAAAAATCATGACTATTACTGCTGGAAAAAATTAGCAGCTAATTTTGAATAATAAAGGGATTGGAGAGTTTTGTAATCTTTCTACAGACAATCTGTGAAAAAGAAAAACTCGTCAGATTTAATTCTCAGTTGCAATTATTTTCTCAGCTCAGCTCCTGGGTAATTAGTGCTGTTGATGTGGCCTGCAATCCATGGAAGGCTAAAAGATCTTCAGATAATGGATTTCTTCTCTTCTTCTAATTAGATTACATTTCCCAGGGTAACTCTGCTCTACCTCCATACCACCTGGTTGTTTTATGGGAGAATAACTTTGGACTTTGTCAGAATTCCCTGTAAAAGGCCTAGCCCCCCATTGTGTACCTTGGCTTTTCTCAGCAGCTGCTGGAATTCATGCTGTGGCAAAAGGCCATGGTTCTTGACAAAGGCTGGGACCTCAGGAGGACGTTGGGTTTCATAATAAACAGTGCCATGGATTTCCATGTACTTGTTGAGGATGGCCAGGAACTTCTCTTTGCCCTGAAGAAGAAAGTAAAGAAGGTCAGATGAATGTGAGATCCCCAAAAGACATACTTGATTCCATGCTGCCAAGAGAAAGGGAAGGGGCCTAAGTCTGATCTCTGTCCTGGAGCCTTTAAAGTCCTCCTATCTAGCAAGGCAAGACTGTCTTCATTTACAGGGAGGGACTCACCATCATGCAACGGGATTCAGTCTGCACAGCATGGAATCCCCCTGCAAGGAAGGTGGAATTTTAGGGCTCTTGGACTGTCACACTGGTTTCACACTAGTACAATCCTGTTGAATGGCATGGATTACTCTGGACTAAGAGTAGAACCAGGTCCTCCAATCGGGTTTGAGGTATCTGAGTGTAGGATCTACCCAAATGCACAAAGACTGATAAGAAATGACAAATTAGAACAGAGAAGACCCAGATTCTCAATGTTATTTAGGCACCTAGCAACCACAGATGCTAGCATCTACATACTTTGGAAAATCTGGGGCTAATAATTTGTCTAGGCCAATATCTTGGTCCTGCCATACATCAGAGTGGATCCAGTGGAAGTCCCAAATCTTCCATAATACAATCAAATGTCATGATCCCGTATCACCGTGAAGTGGTGGGAAGAGTTTATATTCCTGACCCCAACCAGTTATCAGCTCATGTCCTAAAGCACTGAGGTGAAAAGCTCTTCTAATTTATATCCCATTTTGTTTTTCTCACTTGTATAAATCTCTAATCCTTTGAAAAAAAATCAATGATATTTATTTGCCTTAATGAACTACCACAGCAGTGAGCTCCACAGGTTAATTGTGTTCAAACATCTCCAGCTCTGTACAACCTATTAATTGTTCTTCCCATTACTGAATACAGAGACAAGGCTTAGCTTTGGATTCTCCCCATCCCAGTAACATGTCATTCTACCTCAAACCTGCATGTCATGGGGGCCCGAGGGCCCTGTCCCCCGTCGGGAAGAGGGCTGTCACCTGAAATGTATAAAGCTTCCCACATGTCCATCATTTTAGGGTCCCCCTCCAGCAAAAATAAGTCAGTGTCTATGATGCTAGCTTTGTCCCATATCAAGAAGCCATAAAGATGAACAGGACAGGAAGTTCTGCACAGACAACAATATGAGACATGGAAGACAGGTCATACTTTCTTCTGCATGCATGGGTTTGGATCTCAGTTTCTCCATAAGATGCCTTTAAAGACAAAGCCTTGGAATCAGGCAGTTCTGGTATTGTAAAAAGCACATGATTTCCAGTGTTGTTTAATTAATCATGCAGCTACATATACTTATACGTATAGCAGGAAGTGTGTGCACGTACTTGTGTTGTATGTATATATACATTCACACTCCCGCACACATTCATACATGCATGCACACACACCCTGGAATCCAATTCTAGTAAACTCTCATATAAGAATGCTCCTCCTATACTGTTTCATGCTCTTTGAATCTTAATGCATAGCCATTTTGTGCTACACTCAGATGATTCAATCTTGTATGACACAATAACAACACTTAATGTGTCTGTAGCACTTTACATCTGAAAAGTGCAGTGCAAACACTATTTAATCCTCACAGGAACCTTTGAAGAGGGCAAGTATTATCATCCCCATTATACGGATGGAGAAACCCACATTTGCTGACATTTGATGGCTGAAAACGTTGAGGCACAATTTCATGTTCCTGGAGTTCATTGGCTGCATGGGATAGAATGACACAAAGATTCAATAGACCTGAATTTGGGATGTGGGTGAGGTCATAAGGGAGTTATGAAGCACCAACAAAATGAGTATCAATAAAACCTATAAGCAGCACATGAGTCTATGCTAGGGGCGGGCAATTATTTCGGGCACAGGGCCACTTACTGAGTTTTGGCAAGCTATTGAGGGCCGTGTGACAGGCAGCCAGGGGCAGATAAATATTAATTTTCTCAATTTTTTAGGGGCTCCACAGGCCAGACAGAATGGCCTGGCAGGCTGCATTCAGCCTGCAGGCTGCATTTTGCCCACCCCTGGTCTATGTACACATCATGCATTCTATATGTCATATATGGGCAGATAAACTCATTTAGGGTCAAGATCCCATCCCATTGGACTCAATTGTAAATCTTCTAGGGTAAAATGCCAATAGTGCAAGATCAAGCCCTTAGAAATGCTTTACAGAGTTTAAAAACATTATTTGGTAGTTAATGTAAATCCTTTTGTATACGTGGTTTTGTCAGTACCAGATTTTCTTGAAAAGCTCTGCTTTGGAGGGGTGATTTGAAAACAAACATTTTTAAGCTCCCTGTGAACATTTTTTAGGTTTTTGAAAATGTAAACTAAAAAATTCTTTTCTCCCCCTTCCTCCCACATTTCTCCTTTGCCCTTTTCCATTTTGTTCTATTTTACTATCAGGAAATAGGGAGAAAACCTGATTTTTTGGTGTATGTTTCATGGTTTTCTATTTTTAAAAGCACTCAGAAACTTCAAAGGATTAAAGACAGAGCGACACCTTTTTAGAGGAAAAAGATTTGTCCATCAAAAAGTCCTGTGGATGGTAGATTTTCAATTAGCTCTGTTCAGTACATTGACTTCAGCTGCAGCAGGTCAAAGGGGAGCAAGATCGTATCATTAAAAATATTTAGACGTCTCTAAGAGTTGCCTAAAATGGGGTTTCTGTGTTCCACATTTTTGTGGTATCCCAATCCAGTAACTTGGGGGCCTACTAAGGATAAGAGCAAGTGCTTTGTATGCCATGGAAAACATGAGAATCTCTTTTTTGCTGGGATACAACTGAAGAAAGTCCTGGCCCCACTGAGTTCAATGGCCCAAATCTCAGTAACTGCAACAAGAGCAAGATTTCAACCCTGATTTCTACATCCAAAGGATTCAAAAGATACCAAGTCTTACACGCTCATTAGAAAATTCATGCTGCCTGTCAAGCCCGTAAAATCAAAGTCCTACAAAACCTAACGGCTCGCTGGACTAATACAGTTAACGTACACCAGCTTCTTAGCCAACAACACACAAAGGGAGTACAGCAGCTAGCACTGTACTGTATCCAGTTGCCTCTGACAGCTCAACCAAAAGGACCAGGATCCTATTTACAGCTGGGGGAAGCCTCTGGGATCAATGCAAAGTGTGATTCATAATCATGCCTCTGGAACTGCAGTGCAATGTCTTAAATGCTCTGTCACTGTGTCCCTCAGTGCATAATAATTTGGAAAAAAGGAAGGGGCATGTAGGAGAAGGAGATGTTAAAAAAGATTGTCTTCAATGCTGGGAAGAGGTGGAGAGATTGCCTAGTCTCCTCTCCAGGCCTGGATTCAGACCACATTATTGCCACAAGGCTCCATTAATAGGGTACCATGGGGCTTTGAAGGTGCTCAGTAGTGGGAGGAGGAGATAAGGTAGCCACCAGCTTGTAGGTGATGAGGTCAAAAGAGCAGGATAAATGCAATGCCATCACTTGGGTGCCTATTTAGTTCACTAATACACTTGCTGCACAATTACCACAACTGATCCAAAGGGAAGGAGGAGAGGGTCTCGCCTGTAAGAAAGGAATCACTCTCTTCCTCCTCTGAAGTTATTCCAACATGCCGAAGCAGATGGGCACTTTCTGACATGGCTTGGCTACACTCCTGGGCTGGCACTCCCAGCTGGAGAGTATCAATTTTCCACACAGCAAACATAGAAAACTCCAACACTTTTTTTGTGAGTAGAGGACTGTGGAGGGGAGGATCGTCTCGAGGCTGATTACCACCCAAGCTTGCTTGACATTACCCTTTCAGAACTGAACGGAGTTGTGAAGTACTTCATTGTTGTTCTAGCAAACTCAGCCCTGAGGACAAATACAGCACCACACAGTCCTTCCAAGCATGGATTTCATCGAGGGTCTCTTCTCTGTGCTCAACAAAAGAGGAGCAACCTTCCCTTTGAATTTAGCTGAGATCAGCATTGAGCTTTGCAGCCTCGGCATCTCTCCCCACGCTACTTCTCATTTCCCTCTCCAGGCTCTTTACAAGCCTTGGATAAAAACTCTCAACAGCATTAACAGAAGAACACAAGCCACAAGACACCCTGCCTGGGCAGGGGGTAAGCAGGAAGGGGTGGGGGGGATGCAGGGACTGCAGGAGCCTGGCATTTGTGGAAAGCAGGCTACATTAAAGACTTCTTCCAATTCACAGAACCCCCAGCACATCCTCTTGATTAATCCTTCCAACCTGAACGGTCAGGGATTTAATGGGAAAGAGGCCCTTGATATCATTTATCCTCCCCCATCAGCTGAAGCAGCCCCCATGGCTAATGCTGCAACAGCAGTAGTATTTAGCTGCCAAAGCAATATGTCAGCACAGGAACGTGTTCTTCTGCAGACGCCAGGTAACCCTCTGCCTTCCTCACAGCCCCACTTACTGAGAGAGAAACCTGGGCCACTGAGAGTGCTCCCCCAGTCTCCCAGGCCTGTGGAGAGCATGGATAAAGGCTCGTGTCCAGGCTCATCTCTGTTTTTATGTTAGAAACACTCTAGCATTTTAAGAGATTTTGTCCCCTTCTGCACACCCGCTTCTTCTGGACACTCCTTGCCTTGCCTCTCTGCCCTTCCATTAGGATATTCTGCATTATCATTTAGACCGATGTGTATAAGCTGTTATCAGATAGCAGCCCTTTACATCTGGGTTGCACAGGTGTTAAGTAACTACACACAGTATAGACACTGAAGAAGTCGGACGTGTTTCTATCAAAAGATACTTCCAGGTTTGTACACATCGTGTTTATAGAAAGAGCAGATGCAAGACATTCATCCCTGCACCACTGCAAATTATTTGAATCCTGTGTAGAGTTAATTCAGGGAAAATGAGAGGTAAGATTACACCTGTATAAATTACATAGGTATAAGTATCATGCATCCACAGCTGTATCAAGCTGGCTGTTTTCTATAGGCAAACAGGCTATTACCTGCTGCCCTGTCACCAAGAGTTGAACTATTGTAACATCACTTACTGTGAGCATCTATTACCCAGATAGCTGCTCATCTATCCATTCTGGATACTGGCACATTTTACATTTGTCACAAAATGGATGACAGTTCCACTAACCTATCTACACTAATAACTAGGGTTGTGGACCTAGTGACTGGCTCAGATCTTCCTCAAAGTTTGAGTTTTCTGGGTGGCAAAGTTTTGATCCAGGCTCCTCTCTCCTGGAAAGCAAATTGCCTCAGATTCATTCCTTGCCCCTTTTACAACAGCTAATGGCTCCTAACAGTGAAAGGATTTTAATTATATAAATAAATCCATAGGAAGCAAGGGAATGAGAAATCAGTGGAGCCCAGGGAGCTATGCCAGAGCTGGAATCATTTGCTGCAGGAGGTGAGGCTGGGTGTTGGGAGCCATGAATAGCTGTGCGCCAGAAAACGAACAGCACACAAAAGCATCAAAGAGACATGATTTACAAAGAAAAAAATCCATTAGAAAGGTAGGGCAGGAGAATGAGGAGCCCAATTGTTAGTAAAAGTTCTGTTACTGCCAGAGGGGCAGAGAGGCAAGCAGCATGGGCTTGGGTAACCCCTAATAAATGGCATCATTGACCTGTTTTATACAAGGGGTACAGTTGTGCCTGTAAAACAGGCTTTATTGCAGAGATCTTGCTACTTGATGAAATGCAAATGCAGGACTCAGAATAGCCTGCTAAGACCTGGTTATAGAAAGATGGGGCATTGGAAAGACCAAAAGACCAACAATATCAGACTATACACACAAGCTGGCAGCATGGAAGGGTTTAGTGACTCACAGAAAATGCAAGCTCTTTGCACTTGCTGTCCTGAAACTGTGTTTCAACCATCACACTTGTCCCTGATATTTTATTTTTATGCTGAAATGCCCAGTTTAAAAAGACAAGAGACTTGTGCACTACTGTACCTGCAGCTGCAACATCCCAGGGAGAAGCACAGAAGGAAAAAAACAAGAGAGAGGGATAATTAGATCCTGCAAATGAATGATGCAAAGAAAAGCCCTGGGTCTGATCCAGATAAAAGAGGCTGGAGCTAAGACTATCCTTTATGTTCCATGTTCCCCATTATGATACAAAAGACCATTGAACTGTATGTTCAAAGAGGAATGGCATAGTTTTGGTCCAGTTCCAGGGGAGAAGTAGTAGAATACAGGATTTACCTCATGAGCTTAAATCTAACCCAGGTTAGCAGTGCGTAAAGATTGTTACTAGCTGAAGGTGAGAGTTGGGATTGTTTGATAGATGGTACTGGACTGGACGTAGAAGACCTGGTTCTAGTCCCATTTACTGCCCTGCTATGTGATCTTGGACAGGTAACACCAGGTTCTCTGCTTTGGCTCTGACCCCATGTCTACCTTGTCTATTTAGGTTGTAAAACAGGACTTGATTCTTACCATGCATGTTGGCACAACAGGGCTCCAGTCTTGATTCATGTCCTTACACACTGCTATGACACAAGTAATGGCAAGGGAGGTATGCAAACAGTTGACACTGTCAACTCAGTTCCACAAAGGAAATTATTCAGACCTTAACCATTTTAACTGCGGGAAGCTGACTAGTTCAGCACAATGCCTCAAATGTCCTTTCTGTCTCACTTTGGCTAATCTACATCCTTAAAAATGTTCCTTCTGGATATTAGGAACATAGCTGTTACCACACCAGATCTAACCTGAGGGCCCCTCTAGTCCAGTATCCTGTCTGGCAGGGGCCAGCATCAGCTGCTCCCAAAAAGGGTACAAGAAACTCCAACTGGCTGGTTGTCCACACAATAAGTTTTAGAACGATGCATCAGTTGTTATTACTCCCATGACTCCTACATAGGCCAGTGGGAGAGATGGAGTAAATGTCTCCTCAGGTCTTTCCAGGCTCCGCTTTTAAGGAGTGTAGCTTAATTGATAATTTTTTCAGAAGCCTCCATTGATGCCAATGGGACCATCACTTAGCTCTCTGTAGTCTGGACACACCAGTGAGGGCACCTACCTTCCAAATGCTGGCTTCCTTCCCATACACCACTGCCATGTTGCTTACTTTGTTGGACTTGATGAACTGCTTCTCAGTCTCGTTGAGCTCCTCAGACACAAAGCCCATGAAAGAGTTGTCAGGAGTGTGGGCTACAGAAACCAAGGGGGGAAAAGAACCCCTATGTGTTAGACTCGTGCTGGTGCAGAGAGGGGTCTTCCACAGGCCACCACCTGTCTTCCCAAAGCCTGTGTCACATAGCCTGGCCTCACTGGCATTCCCCATGGAGGTTACTTGTACTGGAGAGTGGGGCTATAACCCTAATTCATGGAGAAGGTAAACACAGTTCCCCATGCTTGTTCTGTGCTAATGGGAATTTAGCTGTTGAAGGTATCCCTGGTGTCATTTGGGTGCAGAGGATCCCTCAGCTGAAAGTCCCCCCTTATTTCCCCCCGGCTGGACTCAGGATTCCCTCCTCCAACACTTTTCTTCCTGGGAACAGCTATGCTGGAAAGGGCATGGCCATCCGACTGCGGATAAGGATGTGCAGACTCCCAGCTCCAGGTGAGTGCCTTAATCATCAAAGTGTCTCTGTCAGCTCAGCCATCAGCACCTCCCTCTGCACAGAGGCAGGGAGAAAAACACAGGAATGTAAGAAGTGCCAGACTGTGTCAGCCATTTAGCCCAGTATCCTGTCTCTGACTTGGGCAGAAGTGGATGCTATAGAGGGACAGCACTGAACCAGACATATCTAGAATGACCTATCCCCTATTCAGTACCCACTCTGGCATCCATCATCTATCGGGTTAGGAGGCATTGGTGTTAGATATGCTCAGTAGGGAGATGTGGGCCAGGGCTGATCTGAGGAATGAAATATTGGGAGGCATTAGAAATGAGGCAATGGTGCAGCCCTTAAGGGCTGATGTTTCAGTACCACAGAAACACTTCACAAAATGCAAAGAGGGTCTAAAGGGCTCCAGGAGTGAGAGAACAGAAAAAGCAAACAGAAGCTATTAAAATATGTGATATGAAAACTGCCTGTAGGTCTCTCTAAAATATAAGGCACTTCCTAGACTGCCAAATAGATTATATCCAGCCAGGGGGTAGAAAATATTTGAGTCACTGCATGTATAATGGGTCACCAGGCTCAACTGAGATGAGCAAAACTCCTTTCCCCTTGATGGGTTAGTGGATAAATTGGAACTATAGCCCCTTTCTTGAAACCAGCTGCCTGTCTCCAGATGGGCTATGCCCAAACTGGAAATAAGACTTTTCTTGGAGAAAAATATCTGGTGTTTCACATCCCTGCTCAACTCCCTATTTGCTTGTCATTTCCAAAAGCTGGTTTCACACTCTGAATCTCCCCAGATCAAACTGTGGCTGCCAAGGGCTAAAACTGGGAAGCATATTTCAAAGCTTTTCTTTCTGTGGAATACCCTGGTGAATCCCACCCATTCCATGAAAGGATTTGTTGCCATCACTGGGGTGGGCACACATGAGAGAGAAGTGAAGCTAACCAAGGCAAAGGCTGGGATGGTCTCTATGGTTAAGGCACCGACCTGAAACTCTGGAGAGTAGAGTTCATGTCTGGCTTTGCCACAGGCTCCCTTGTGGGGGAGTGCTTTCATTTCTTCATTGCCAGCACTTACTTGGTGGGCCAAGGTCTTGCCAGTGCTGACTTCTGCCAGCAGAAATTCTGGTAGTAGAAAGGGGCCACCACCGCCGAGCCCCAAGACCAGGTGCCCAACCATGCTCTTCTGGCAGCTCTGCACAGCCCCACTGCAGCAGCTATGGGGTCAGAGTGTCAAGTGCTTTCTGGGAAGGCATTCATGGCCAGAGGGACCGCGGCAGCCAGCAGCAGGCATAGCAGCAGCCCTTTTCCACATTAACAGAACTCTCTGACATTTTGCTCACGGAAAACAAATCCTCCAGTCTGATGTTACTTCTGCCACACTGATAAATCCCTTCTTTCCAGCTTTCTGCCCTTCCCACCACCTCCTCTCTTTGGGTTTCTGGTACTAAAACCCCTGCTGTTGCAGGAGGAGTGATTGGGTAGCTGAGCTGCTCTTGGGACTGCTCCCTGCAGAATCTCTGGGCTGACAAATCACCATGTCACAGCAAAGTCCTTCACTGCCGAACACTGGGAGGAGGGGAGCAGCTGGGGCAGGCTGAGAACATAATTAGCAAAACAGTGGGAGTGGGACAGAAAAGAATTAAAGCTAATTAAAGTAACAGGGCCCATTAAGCAGGCGTTTCCTTAGGGCACGCTGTCAAGGTTAAGGTCAGATGGAAGCAGCACACATCCCATTCAGCATGCTTGAGAAACCAGCTTTGAACTGAAGTACATGGTAAGGACTTGGCATTGCTTTTATGGCACAGTCTGAGCATAGCATGAAGAGGGGGATTATTTTCTGGCTCTGTCCCTCTTTAGGGGATCCTCTGTGCACCCCCTTACTTTAGGCGAATGGGTATTGCAACCTCTATAGTTCTAGATGAGACTGCAAAGATCTTCTCAATGGCATGCTTCAGCTGGACAGAAAGGGGCGTTTTTGGCCATGTGAAGCACTCACTCCCCCAGTGTGGACGTGCCAGTGTTTGCCCATCCTTTCCCAGGCCCTGCTGGTGTAGAATGGGGAGCCAGAGTACAGGGGATTGAGATGCACACCCAGGTATTAGCTGCTCCCTGGTAATTGTTTACAAATTAAAATCAGAAGGCCCCTCGAACTGGAAATAAGATACCAATTGTTCCTAAAAATGAACTGGACATATCTGAGTTGCCTGTTTGTGGCAACCAGCACAAAGAGGAGAGTGAATGTAAATTTCTGAGCACTGAGAAATAAGAGCTGCTTTCCTTCGAATTATTCTAGTCTCAGGAACTTCTTCCTGTTCCAGTGCAGCTGACTTATTTTGGGGGGGGGGGGGGGGGGGGGGGGGAAGAAGGGTGCATGGGTGGGCTAGGTACGGTATGGTTGGCAGGCTGATGCCCAAGAGTGGTTAACAGACACCCTAAACCCTTAATTGCATATTCCCATTGTGTTCACTGGCCTGGATCTGACAGGATGATTTGCAATTATCAAACATGCAAGTATCAAAAAAAATCCTCCTAAGATCCGAGAACTAAACAAGCCATCACTTACGAAACATCGTCATGAACTGCTTGGGGTTCAGGTTCCAGTACCCCCAGTTCGTCCGGTAGCCGTGCAGGGTGGCATACTCTTCATGATTGTAAGCTGGCTCTGTCCCAAAGGTATCAATGACCCGAACACGGCACCTGTCCAAGCAAGACAACAATGGTTACGTTTCACTTCCATTTTGCAAACAAAGAGCATCAACCCATGAGATCCATCTTCCACCATCTCAGGACCAAGATATTGTTAGAGCCGCTATGGGCTTGGGGAGATGAGCATTTAGTAGAATTACTACTTTAAAAAGGATTAATGGGTCTTGCAGTCCAATCCATGAGAAGACAGATCCTTCATATCAATGAGCAATGACTGGCTTGAGCATCCATGTGGTGAGTCAAAGAAGCCTTCAGCGCCCCATGAAAACCTTTTGGGATGATACAGAGGCAAGGTAATGCTGCCTTGGGGCAGTGCTATGTGCTTGAACTCCAGAGGCCAAAGCTTTGTTCAGGTTTGTGCTGCCTTGCTGCCCAATGGCCAGAGGCCTGGAAAAGATCAGCGCTATTAATGCTGAAGGTACAGTGGGATTTAGGCTTGTTAGTGCAGGTGAAAGGATGTTGACAACAATGGTCAGAGCTGGGTTTGATGCAGAAGGCAACTGCACAAGATTTGCCTGAGCAACTCTGCCAATGCAGACCAATGGTGGTGAGAAGAAGTCTATCTGTTTCAGTCCTAGCTGCCACACATTGCTGCCATCATACTTGGATTGGCAGTGCCCCAATGGCTCTCTTGTGGCTTTTAGGTACACCCTTCAGGTAAAGACAGTGCAGACCTGCATTGCATCCATGTGAGCACCAAGGCACCATGCTTGCCCTTCCATGCAGGGCACAATGCCCCAGGTACTACTTTTTGGAGGTTTGCCTTGTGACATCTCCTGTGTAGACACCTTTGGGTGACTGGCACCCTAAAGTTCAGGAGTAGTGGATGTTGTGCTCAGGAGAGCACAGGGCCCCAATTACAGCTCTACTTAGCCTGGCAAGGGATGGGGTCAATGGGGGAAGTTCCCCTTGCAGAGCTCCAAAGGCACAGACCCCAATCTCAGCTCCTACTGATCCAAGCCGGATCATCCCACATCTGTCAATGCACTTTGGTCCTGACTCTGGGCATGAGCTGACCCCCACCTCCAGGCAAGAAGTTATTTGCTCCCATATTAAGAAGCACACTGTCAGGGCTTCTGGTCAGTGTTTAGCAAAGAAGGAAGGATGTATTTTCAACATCCCTTCTGGAAAGGAAAAGATTCACTTGACTCCCTCCTTGCAAATAAACCAGGTTCCTGTTCAGGTCTTTCATTGGCCCGACATCTTCAAAAAAGTTATACATCTTCTGGAGACATTTTAATGCTTTCCCCCATATCCCAGGAATGCTGAGGCAGGCATTACCATGGTGAGGGAGATGGAAAATAGGAAAAGTGGAAAAAGAGAGAGGATGGAAAAAAAAAAAAAGCCCAAGCTAAGCCTACAGAGTAAATGCATTTATAATAAAAGCAATAATGCTGCCTGTCATTTTTCTCTCTAATAAAATCATGTAGGATAGTGGAAGGAATGGGAGAAAACATAATAAATAGGCAGGACTATCAGCACTAAATTAAATCACATATTTTGCTGGCTGCTGCTATGTCAGGGAATGGGGACATTAGTCTCTCTCAGTGCTGAAGAGGAAAGGAGAAAATGGGCTTGGGCATGTGGGCCCTCTTTCTTGCAAACGCAAAGAGATCTCTCTGCCTTTTGTGGCAGATCACACCTGCAGAGTGGCAAACGTATTATTTAGAGACACATGCACACGCACACACAAGAAGTCCTCCCTGAAACTATTTGCTTCCCCAGCACAGAGCCTTATAATTAGTTTTTGTTTTAAGGTAGGGTTTGAGAGCCTGCTCTCCCTCCTTCCCAAGCAGATCTCAGCACGTTATGACAGCAGCTGGGAAACAGTGTGGAGGCAGTTCACTGGGCAATGTACCAGCTGTCAGAGCTGTGCACATAAACAAGGCTGGAAACAAAGGGTCCAACTTTTTAGGATGTGCTGGAGATCTGCTGCAGGCCAATTGGTAGAGGAAAGGAAAGGTGGCATGGCCAGGGGAATTTCACTGCATCTTGCTGCAAGATGGCAGAGAATCTGCTTTCACATTCTGGCTGAGGTGAGGCAGCCTGCGAGTCTAATCTGTGCCTCATGTCCTGTATAAAACTCCCAGACACCTGCACATGGGCAAGCCCAGTTGATAATCCTGCTTGAAGGACAGGGAGAGATTGATGCTAGAATAGAATCCGAATTGAGGGGAACTGGCAGAGTCATAGCCCATGTACTGGAATGACAGTACGTGGAAATCCATCGACACAGCTGCATGGTGAGATGTACAAAGCCCCTGGCAAGAACATACCTCAGTCTGTCTACACCTATTTAACCCCAATGAAAACAAAGCAGTAATTATATAAAAGAAGCCTCTGAAAGGAAGAGAGTGATTTTTCTTACCTGTATTTCTTAAAGGAGAGCCCCATGTGTTGCTTCATTTGCTGTAAGCCATGGTAATCAGTGTAAATGAGGTCAAAAGGCAAAGGGATCGTCAAGGGGCAATTGCCCCGTCCAGGAGGCACCCCTAAATTACTGAAGAGAACAGGGAAGAACTGATCAGCCATTGAACACAGCCAAAGCCCTTTTGCTCACTCTGCAAAGTCAACATTCATTTTCCTACAAAGTGTTTTAAAGAGACCATCCTTCCCCTCCTTCAGACCAGCCTGGAACTCCATTCTCGCCGTGGGGAGATGGTTCTATCAGGGCTGCCCAGGGCCTCCATCCTTGGATTCCCACCAGCTCTTCTCTGCGAGTGACTGTCTGGGTAGAGCTGCCTGCTGTGATGTTGGCCAAGAACCACTCTGACTTTCTGAGGCCGTGGAATGCAAACAATTTAGATGCTGTTTCAGGGGTGCACCAGCTTCCCCTGCTGGAGAGGCAGGGCAGCGGACTAGGGCTGTGTGAAGCTTTAGTCCCTGATTCAACTTGGCGAACATTCGGTCCAATTAAGTGGCCAAATCTCCAAATCTGAATCGAATCAGAGGACTCTTTAATCTCTCCAGATCGACGCGGAGAGATTTGGTGATTTGGACACAGACACAGCTTTAAATGTATTTTCTACATACCACTAGGTAGCAGGCGCAGTTCATGAATGCTGCGATGTTGGAGCGCATGGAGTGTCCCACAGAAGCAAGGGGGGG